GCATATAATATGGAATGAATATTCACTTTATTATCTAATTAAATTTCAATTCAGTAAATATTTATTTAGTTTCTGGTACATGCCGGTGACTTCTAAATAGTAAAAGTGTCAAAGTGAACTAGATACATGTTTTTGGTCTAGAGTAGGGATATACACTGAAATAGCCAATCAGTTCTGGTCCTTGCTAGGCTTGAGTAACTGAAGAACATCGTCCTTGCTATAGGGAGAGATAGGGAAAAGACATCACCATTTTAATTTCTCTCTCAGGACCTTCTCTCTTCCACCACACATATGGGGGGGTTTTGGAACTACTTTATTATATTCAGCCTTCAAGGGGGCTCCTAAAACTCAGAGATGACAGAAAACATTGCATTTGACAACCTGTTACAGTGTTTGCTAACGTGTTTTAGAACGCAGAGGTGTTATACAAGCGTTGTAGTTAACAGCATATCCAAATTAAGAGTAGTGGAACTGGCCATCTTGTCACCCAGAAATCTGAAGAAACTGAGTAAGTCGTCCGTTGGATAGAATTAAAGGGTACCAAATCTAGGATATAGAGTGGGGTCAATCTGCAGATAGTCTTTAAAAAATATTTAAAATTAGGAATAGGTCTATTTATCAGAACAATTTTAAGGGTTAAAAAGGATCAAACTTTTTGTTCAATGAAACAATAGAGATGTAGAACCAGGTGATCCTCTTTGATAGTAAGATGATTAACACATCAATTCAAGCCCTGGTTCACTCTGAGTTTTTGGGAGAGTTCTTGTGAAGTGGGTGGGTGGAAGGCAGAGGCACAGAAGGACACACAAGGATACCGAAGAGGCAAGACAGGTCCTTCTTTGTTGATTGAGAATGTGGACACAAAGCATTGTGGATGTCAGCCTGCTGGTTTCATATCATGGGCACTTCTCACACACCAACCTGTTCTCTTGGTGCTGGAATAGGAGGTGGTGATAAAGGATGGGTCATTGCTAGATGTCCCTTTCCTTAAAACAAATAAGCAGGGAAGCCTGGGTGGCTCAGTGGTTTAGCACCTGCCTTCGGCCCAGGGTGTGATCCAGGTGTCCTGGGATCGAGTCCCACATCGGGTTCCCTGCATGGAGCCTGCTTCTCCCTCTGTCTGTGTTTCTGCCTCTTTCTCTGCATTTCTCATGAGTCAATAAATAAAATCTTAAAAAACAAATCAAATAAGTGACTACTACATATGCCTCCTAAAGCCTGATGTTTTTCCTTTGGTTAGTATTCTGAGATTTTTGCTAAGCACTTCAGCTTTTCTGATTTATTTCTCTTCAGTATATCTTTATCCTTTGAGCATAGGATGTAGCAGATCTTTGGGGGTTGCCCCCCACCTTGGCCACCTGCTGCTCAGAATGTCATCAGGTGGGTTAGTGAGAGGAACACACAGCTGCTCCTAGTGATAAAGAGGAGAGGAGAGTATGTCTTCGTTTTTGTTTTACTTTCTTTGGTATGTGTGAGGCATGGTGCCAAGATCTTGCCTTTTATGCTCTATTTCTTTAGTGTCATGAAAAGCAATTTAATTTTGTTCTAAAATGAATCCTAACTGATGCTTCTACTTTTGGCCGGTAGAAGAGATTAATTTTTGTTTCCTGTGTGTCTGGGCAGTGAGCATCCTAGAGGCAGGAATTTGTGTCCTGTCGCCTGCCTCTGCCGGAGCCTGCCACTTAGCAATCACTCTGTAAACATGTGTTTGTTGACCTCAAGTGTGTGTGAATGCCCAAAGTGCAGGCATGACACAGCTGACCAAAGAGGCAGCAAAATGGGTATTTTTCAGCCCGACCCCTTCCTGGGATGATTTTATATAAGTTAATCTTCTTGCAAATAAAAGCATTTCCCACATCTAAAACTGATAGAGCCCATCTAAAACTTCAGTGATTCCTGTCCCCAAACTCCTTGTTAGTGATTAACAGTGATGGTCCTGGGGCAGCCTCGGAGGCCCGGCGGTTTAGTGTCGCCGTCAGCCCAGGGCGTGATTCTGCAGACCTGGGATGGAGTCCCACATCGGGCTCCCTGCGTGGAGCCTGCTTCTCCTTCTGCCTGTGTCTCTGCCTCTCTCTCTCTCTCTCTCTCTCTCTCTCTCTCTCTCTCTCTCTCCCCCACCCCCCGTCTCTCATGAATAAGTAAATAAAATCTTAAAAAACAAACAAACAAAAAAAAAAACAATGATGGTCCTGTATGGAGTTGTGCTGTCCCCACAGCCCATATAAGACCCAGGGCTTCTCCGGGGCAATGACTACTCATTTATGAAGAGGAATTCACACACTATATGATTCACCCATTTAAATTATACAATTCAGGACAGCCCAGGTGGCTCAGTGGTTTGGCACCTGCCTTTGGCCCAGGGCGTGATCCTGGAGACCTGGGATCGAGTCCCACATCAGGCTCCATGCATGGAGCCTGCTTCTCCCTCTGCCTGTGTCTCTGCCTCTCTCTCTCTCTCTGTGTGTCTCTCTCATGAATGAATAAATACAATATTTAAAAAGAATAAAGTATACAATTCAGTGGATTTTTGTGTATTCATAGACTTATGTACCTATTATCACAACCAATTTTAGAACATTTTCATCATCCCAAAAGAAAGCCTGAACTCATTAGCCATCACTACCTAATTTTTGTCTCACCCTTACTCCTAGGCAGGACTAGTCTACTTTCTATCTCTGTAGATTTGCCTATCCTGGATGGGTGCAATAAATGAATTCATGCAAAATGTGGTCCTTTGTAACTAGCTTCTTTCACTTAGCATCAGGTTTTCAAGGCTCACCATGTGGTATGAATCAGTATTTTGTTCTTTTTTATGGCAGAGTAATATTCCACTGTATGGCTATACCACATTTTGTCTATCCATTTATTAGTTAATGGACATGTGTTTATTTTTTAATTTATATTATTTTTTTGGACATGTGGTTTATTTCCTAAAGGCTATCTTGAATAGTGTTGCTATGAACATTTGTATATTGGCTGAGAACTTAGTTTTATGTTTTCACTTTGTCACTTTGGACTGACACAAGTACTGGTACGCAGTTTTAATCCCATTTAGACTCCAAAAACATATTTATGAAGTAGAAATGCATGGGGCACACATGATGTAGCAGAATAGACTGAAGGATAGTTAAAGCACTTTTTAATGGAGCTGGGGTCAATTTTAGGGGACGTGCAGGACACCTTGGTGGCTCAGCGATTGAGCGTCTGCCTTTGGCTCAGGTCATGATCCTGGAGTCCCAGGATCGAGTCTCACATCAGGCTTCCTGCATGGAACCTGCTTCTCCCTTTGCCTATGTCTCTGCCTCTGTCTCTCATGAATAAATAATAAATAATAAATGTCTCCGAGGGTGGGAGGATGGCCATGGAGTGTGTACGAGGAAATCCAGGATGTGGGACAACATGGTGCCATCTGCTGGGAGTGCCCTGGGCACCGTCAGAGCTCCAGAGGAGGACCCAAGGTAGACTTAGGGTGGTATGGTAAATGGTAGGGAGGTCAGGGAAGCTTCCAGAAGGAAGTTTACAACCAGGCTGGGATCTAAAGGAAAAGTGGATGTAGATAAGCAAGAGAAGAGAGGGTGGAGAGGAGGAAAAGGGGGAAAGAGAGTTCTTAAATGGAAAGTTCAGTATGTTCTGTGCGTCACCTGCTCTGGAGTTAAAAGTAGGGCTCAAGGTGAGGTGTGGTGGGAAATGAGGACGAAAAGAGCAGAGGGAGGTCTGGTACCCTTGAGAGCTGCACCAGATGGTTTGGACTCTGGCCCAAGAGCTGGGAAGGGAGCCATATGAGGAGGTCTGCTTTTCGGAGGGAGGCTAAGAGGGGCACGTTGGGCCAAGGGTGGGGCTTATTTCCCCTGCAGTGGGAGAGCAGGTTACCTGCTATGGGTTTCAGTGGGAGTTTTGAGGATGTAGGAAGACCCAGGAAGAGTCACTGTGGAGAACGAGATCAGCAGGTGAGTTAGAGAAGCAGCTGTGGGCTATTGTGAGGTGAGTATTTTAAGTCTGCATCATCATTGTGGAAGGACGTGCCCCCCAGGGATGTGGTAAAGCATTACACTTGCATAATTGTGGTTCAACATGTCCCTTGCCTCAGCGGATCTGTATTGAACTGAGTTACCTTCATTGAACTGCAAAAGCCAACAAAAATAGAGAACAAAATTGCCCAAATTCAGTGGAAGATGGTGTGCTGGTCCTCATGATCATTATAGCCCACAGCTGGCTGCTCCCCTGGTGATTTCACATAGGTGCCATTTATTCTTACTTTGAAAGGGAAAGCCTAGTAGAGAAGCTGATTATTTCCCTGCCTCCAGGAATGGAGGAGTCAGGGTTGGTGGTGGGGGCACGAAGATTTACCTGAGCTGTTATCATGCAAATATTGGGAGGCCACAGTATCTCAGATCCTGGAGTCAGAGGGGAATTAGGCAGGATAAGGGAAGCAGTCTACTTCATGAGATGGTTTGGGGAATCTTGGGAGACATGTGCCTGCAAGCTTTGCTCAATGAGGAGCTGGGCTGGAAGAGCTGGGAGACTGGTCTGGGCTCAGAGCTGGAGGTGGGCTTCCGGCCCTGGCAAGGTGCCGCCAGAGGAGTGATGCCACGGGCCTGGACGGTGGGCCCGCCCTGGCTGTCTGCATGTGGCACACAAGAGGGGTGGCGGGGGTGCTGCCTGGCAGTGGTCACTAGTTTAGGGTTGTTAGACTCCCCTTAGATGAGGGGCCCTCCTGGGGGCGAAGAGTGGAATCAATCTCACTTTTCCACCGTGTCTGCCTCTGTATTGGTTGCTGCAGCTGAGAAGCACGATGCAACGGTTTCAGGCCATTAGACAGTCTTCCCGCTAGGAAGGGCCACGGCGGTGGGCCAGGTGGCTCCTGAGACACCGTCAGCCCCACGTTCAGCCAGGCTGGGCAGGACCCCAGGGGCAGGTGACTGCAGCGCACAGGCGCATCAGGGCGCCCCAGCCGAGCCGGCCTTCCCTCAGCGCCGTGGGGGGGCTGTCGCCCTGCCCAGGTATGTACCCTCTGGCTGCCGCGGCGCAGGAGGCGGAGAGCAGCCGGAAGCTGAGCCACTTGCTCAACGCGGTGACCGACGCGCTGGTCTGGGTGATCGCCAAGAGCGGGATTCCGTCCCAGCAGCAGCCCGTGCGCCTGGCCAACCTCCTGATGCTCCTCTCCCACGTGAGACACGCCAGGTACGTCCCCGCGGCCGCTCCGCCGCCTGGGCGCGCGCCCTGCCAAGGCTCAAGAGCGCGGGGAAGAGTGTGTGCGAGCTTGGGAGCGAGCAGGTGGAGCGTTCACCTCCAGAGGAGAAGAAGCCCCGCCAGAGGGAGGGGCCGCCGGGCCTTCGCGGGTGCGCGCCGCCGCCGCCCAGGTCAGCGCCGCGGGCTGCAGGTGCAGCGCCACCTTGCAGGGGACGTGGGCGTCCCGCATCTGGTTTTTAGTTGCTGGGGTTTGGGCTCGGCTATGGAATTCTAAAGGGGGCAGTTTCTCCCCTAATGTGAAATGCCGCCCTTGCTTATACCACCACTCTGAGGTCATTTTTTCTTTTTATCTTTTCTTTTTTGAGAGAGAGAGAGAGCGCGAGAGCACACGTGCGTGAGCGTGCGTGAGGGAGAGGGAGAGGGAGAAGCAGACTCCCCACTGTGGGGCTCCATTCGGGGTCCGGGATCCTGACCTGAGCGGAAGGCAGATGCTAAACCGACTGAGCCCCAGGCGCCCCTCTGAGGTGGTTGTCTTGAGGAAGCCAGACCCAGCTCCTCTAGATCAACCCCTGAGGTTAGCGATCTGGGGAAGCGCACAAAGCCTTCCCTCGGAGTGGTTCTTTTCTTGTCAAGCATCAGGACATTAAGAGTGAGACCTGAGAGAACCGGTGGGGCCCGCAGGGTTGGGAGGACAGGGCCGTGAGTAGAGTGTATTCAGGGAATGTCCATCGTGTGTGCTGAGGAAAGGGGGCCAGAGCAGCATGATGGTTCTGTGCCGGCAGGTATTTGATGGTTTCTAGGATGAGGGCGGCCCTGCCCTGGGGCTGGCAGAGGGGAGATGAGGATGGAAGGTAATTGCTACCTGAGGAGGAGGAGGAAAGTCTAGAGGCTGTGGGGAAGGACAGTATTCACCACAAAGGAGGAAATGAAAACAGCCTCTGCCTTGGTTCCTCCTGAATAATTATTGACACACGACCGTTTGCAGAACAGATACAGTCCACTCTCATTAGTCACAGATTCTGTATTTGCAAATTTGACCACCTTTAAAAAATTATTTGTAACCCCTGAAGCCACATTCAGTGGCATTTTTGTTGTCCTTCAAGGACATGCTCAGGGTGGCAAAAAATTGGGGTTGCCCACACTTATATTCCCAACTGAGGTCAAACAAGGTGTGTTCTTATTTGAGCTCTCATACTCTAATGTCCTTTGCATGGTCTAGTTAGTGCCATGTTTTTGCTCTTTTTCTTGGCGATATCACTGTCTATAAATGGCCCCCAAACATAGTGCTGAAGCACTGTCAGTGTTTCTGAGTGCAAGAAGGCTGTGATGTGCCTTATGGAGAAGATACGCATGTTACATCAGCTTGGTTCATGCATGAGCTGTAGTAGCACAAATGTTAGTTTAACTGTGAGTTAAATGTTAATGAAGCAGCAGTTTACTTTAAAAAAGGTGTCTTTAAACAAAAACACAGGTATGCCAAAGTTATGTATTAATTAGATGATGAAAATGTTGTGCCCAGAGCCTCTCAGGAACCAAACCCTGCATTTCCCCCAGAAGCAGAGTATTTGCTAATTCAGTGTTGGCAGCAACCATACAGAACGTAACTACTGTGCACAATGAGAATTAACTGCAGTTTGTGCCGGGTGCTGTCAGGCCACTATGGGTGGGTGGTGGGACACTAAGGTCCTTGCCCTTAAGTGTAGATGATTGAAAGACATAAGAACCCTAGAACAAATGGTGGGGGGAACTTAGGGGGAAGAGGGTGGACTGGCTCTGTTGGGGAGAGTTGGGAAAAGGTTTTGATGGCTACCTCATGGGAAGGAACCTTGGCATTTTTTTGTCTCCACAGTAACAAGGGCATGGAACACCTGCTCAACATGAAGTGCAAAAATGTGGTCCCAGTCTACGACTTGCTGCTGGAGATGCTGAACGCGCACACGCTCCGCGGGCACAAGTCCTCAGTCACTGGGTCCGAGTGCTGCCCAGCAGAGGAGAGTAAGAGCAAGGAGGGCTCCCAGAAGACCACATCTCAGTGATGCCCAGTCTGAGGCGAACAGGCCTTAGAGGAGGCCAAAGGCTGACGTGTGAACCACGGTGCGAACCATGAGCTCCGTCCGGAAGTGGGGAGCCTTCGTCGTCTTTCCCATGAGTGCTGCCTCATGTGGTTATGGCAGGTGCAGTTGTGTCAGGTCCTTCACCTGGCCTCCCCTCTTCCTAGGAGTCAGGGTGAGAAAGCCAGTGTTCTGTGGTGGCAGGGGGCATGTTTGAAGGCAGACTTTACATCTTGCTTGGCCTCATAGGATCTCAGTGTGGTCCCTTTTGTACTTTCCATGTCCGTCCCACCGCTCTGGAAAACATCTGAAAGGTTTTGGAATGAATGGTGGAGATCTGATGCGGAAGGTCTGTAATGTGGAGAGGGGAGAGGATGGGGCATTTATAGGAAGTGGACTAACCTTTACTGTGTCACCTAGCCTGCCCTTACGTAGACCTTTGTTTGCTCTCTTCACGGCCACTTGATTGTAGGATTGCAGACCATGACAACGAACTGGTTCCACACACCTACCTCACACGCCTGTGAGGATTGAAGTCATGTATCGCTCTTACTGTTGAAGGCCAGAGGGACTGTGACCTGAGAGCCAGTGGACATGCTGAGCCATGTCCTTCCCCCAGACCTTGCTGCCATCTCCATAGAGGTTCATTCCTCTTGATTTGCGTTCATAGAACCTGCTAATTATTTGGGGTGCATTTAGGTTTATGATAACTTTTATGGAGGATTGTGGAGATTTAAATCTCTTTGCCCCTGGAATTGGCGTTCCTTACAACTCTCTTGTTCCAAAGGGCCCAGTGTGTGCTGGAGAAAGACCTAGCATGTGCAGGAATGGGTTTCTCCTGTGGGTCTGGGTCACGGCCACATTGCTTCCTTTGGGGTAGCCACAACCACCATCATTAGCCATCCACAGACAGGGACATGTCAGGCTGTGTGTGCAAGGTTCAGGACCAGACTGTGTAGACTTGGTGAGCATATCACTTGAATAAGACCTGGCTTGTGAGCTCTACTTTTAAAAAAAAATATTTAGGGATAATTATTTATAGCAAGAAAGAATTCTTTTACACCCTAGGGCTCTTTTAAGCTATTTTCTTAGCAGAACATTTATATGGCGAGCTGGGTGAAATAGAAACTTCACAGAAGACTATTAGTTCCTCTTCCAAGTGGAACATAAATAGGACAAGATGATAAAGCACCTCTGGAATTACAATTTTAACTCAGTTTTTAAAAATTGAAATCTTCAGGAACATAGTGAATGCATAAAATGAGTTACATCCCTACCTTGGCAGTGAGCAGTGAAATAATCACGTTTGATTTTTGTGATGCTGTTTTAAAAAATTACCTTGTGGTAGGAGATTAAACTCATTCTCTTTTTGAAAATGGGTTTACTTTGGCTAGCACATTCTGTATTTACTAAATCCTTAGGAAGATTAAATTCGATGTTATAAAGGTTGGTTTCTGCTAGGGAGTCCTTGAATAAATCTTAATTTGGATAATGGTGCAGTTTTACTAAAAGTTGAGCACAGCTGCTTCTGAAACACTTGGACCAGACCTAGAGAGCACACCATTGTCTGTATTCTGACATGGTTTGAAATTATTCCTTGTGGCTCAGTGCTGTCGTCTAGGTGAGATTCGGGGCGGAACATATGGGTTGTATTTTACAGGAGCCAGTGTCATCCAGAAGGTCAATTTTCTTTCTTTCTGGCCAGCCTAGAATTACCCCCCACTCCCCACTCCCCACCAAACAGAAGATTCGAGGTAGGAGAATAGGAAGTGGGAGGCAAAGGAGGCAGTCTTAAACAATTATTTGTTGAATTGTTAAATTCTCTTAATTGTACTTACAAAAGAGACTACCACGTTAAAAAAAAACAAAAACAAAAAACAAACAAAAAACAGAATAAGGTCCAAGCCACTGCCACAGTAGCACATAGTGACATTTTTTTAGGTTGGATTTTGATGCTCAAGGTAGAAACCAGACTGATCTCAGGTGTCGAAGCACCTTTCCATGCCAAATTCTGTGCTTCTCCAGACTGGTGTGTGTGCTTTGAACTCTCCTAGTGCCCACCGTGCACTTCCTAGCTATTCCTGCATGCTTCTTGAGGCTGCTTGCTTCCCTGCATTTGGATCTGGCCCATGAGGGGGCTGTAATACTTTTGGTAATTTCTTCTTCGCTCAGAATGCCATAGGGGTGTGCTGGGAATAGAGGTTAGACCAGCTTAGAGGGCCTCCTTGGTGCAAAGTTGTCTCTTAAAATTGGGCCATGTAGGCAGTTGAGATAACATGGTCTACAGTTGAAAGTTATCCTTTGTATTGTTTTGAATATTCTAGGGTCCTTTCCCCCTGGCAGAAAGGAGTGTTTTTTAAATTGTTTTTAAAAATTTAAATTCAATTTGCCAACACATACTATAACACCCAGTGCTCGTCCCATCAAGTGTCCTCCTTAGTGCCCGTCACCCAGTTATCCCATACCCCCACCCACCTCCCCTTCCACAACCCTTTTTGTTTCCCAGAGTTAGGTGTCTCTCATGGTTTGTTGCAGATGATAGGAATGTTTTGAATCTCTGTGCCCATCTGTTCCAAATATGTCCACTAAAGCTGACACCAGTGTGTTGTCAGTCTGCTGTCTTTATATCAATATCCATTTTAAAGATGAATCATTTCTCCTTAACAGTGCTTTCTTTTAAATGTCTTTTTTGGGGGTATCCATACCCCATTCAAAATGATCTTTGGACAACCTAAAATTCTGCCCTAGTGAAGCAAGGATTTTGTTTTTTTTCAAGATCAGTTTTTTTAAAAGGAATTAACTAGGGGAAATAGGACTTGACAGCTGTAAACAGGAATTCATTTGAGTATTGGAGGGGAAAAAACCCCACCCAACTACATTTTATGTATTATGGAAAAGTGATCCTTAGCTTTGCCTCAGACTCCTGTGGCAAGAGTCCTTTCCTTTATTTTGATCTGCAAGTTATTGTTTAATGTGAGAAACTTATTTGTGAGAGATGCGTGACATTTGGGCTTATGTCCAAAAACATGAGTGTCTCATACGGGGTCATGTGGACAAATCTTAATGAAATAATTAACGTGAAATATTCTTAACATAGAGAACATTAGAACAGGGTGTTCACTTAGATTCTTGGGAGGAAGCTGACAGTCCCTAAAGAGGACCTGCATGGGTGAGCAAGGGGCTGCAGTGAGTTTTCACACCTTGTCCTGACAGCCCCTCCTCCCCACAGTTCCTCTGTATGGCCTTAGGCCTGTCACATGCATACTGTCCACTGGGACCAACTTCAGAGGATTCAACCCCAAAATCATTTTGAAGAGATTTTTCTTAAAAAATTGAGGGGGAACAGAAGAGTAAGTCAGCCTAATAACAAGTCTGGAGGGTCTTAACTGTATTTGAAAAAAAAAATGCAAAATCTACCCACGCTCTGCAGTCAGATAGTCTTTACTTGGATTGTTTCATCTGCCAACTTGGTCGGAAGGGTAATTATTCTAGATTTTAGAAAAAAGAGATCAGTTACCAATTCTTGGCAGAGTAACTTATATATTCGTATATATATAAGCTAGGTGGGAGCAACTCTAGAATTTTCCAGCATGTGGAAACAGCTTGGTTGTTATTTAAATCTGCTAATGAGCTTGCCTGTGTTAGAGACACCTTTTCAAATTCAAGGTGAATCTTCAGCGTCTAGGTCTATTTTGAAATGAAATTTTTTTATTAAATAAGATTTGACACAGTTCTTTAAGCTGCTAAAAACCTTTTAGAAAACATAATAAAGACTGCATGAAGGAAATGATAAAAATACATCATTTAGCACCTTAAAATAATATCTGTGGAACACTTACTGTGTGCCAGACACAGTTCTCAATGCCTCATACTTTCACACTTAATAATAATTAGCGTGATCCTAAGTTTCTGGTTGTGGAAACTAGAGAGTATAAGCAGATTTGCCCAGGGTCACACAGGGAAGCAAGTGACAGAGCTGAACACAGGCAGAGGTCCAATGCTGAACGTAATCATGCAGTTTAAAACAAAACACTAAGAAAGATATTCATAGGTTGCATTCATCAATTGCAATCTGACATGCATGGCCACTCTGGTTTAAGTGGGGCCCTCCCAATTTGCACAACACTCTGTAGGTAGATACAGGGACAGCTTGCAAACCTGACACAGAAGTTCAATCTCATCTTGTACACATGTGTAAATTACAGCCCAGAGGGCTTGACCTGCTCAAGGTCATAAAACTACTTATGGCCAAACTTGGACATGAATTTAAGTCTTCTGCTGCCTGGCCACCACTGTTCCCGCTGCAGGACTTGCCTCCCTAAGTCTGCTGCTTGAGTTGAATCTCCATGCATAACAGATATTAAAGTTCTGGTTGCCTTCTACTGTTCCTGCAGATCTTACCTTTTCAGCTTAGATGGGGGTCTGCATGAAATGTTACAGAACAGGTGGAAAAAACAATGAGTTCTATCGTTCCTGTCCTCCCACCTGGGCTCATAAGCTAGTGAGTGGTACTCCTGTCACCTCCTTCTATCTGCTGTTGCTTTTCCTAAATGCACTGGAGTACTTTCGTTGGAAATTCACCCATGTAAAAGTCTCATGCCTTTTAGGTACTGATGCTTCCCTGTGGAGTTTGGTATACAATAGTGTGAAACACATGCCATTTATTCTTATATAGCTCTCAAAGTTGCTGGAATCTCAGCTCCAGTGGCAGCTCTCAGATGTGATTGTCTCTGCGATATGTGATCTTATAACTTTTCTGTTGTTTTGGAGTCAAGGATCCGCACCCCCCTCCTTGAGTTCTGAGGATCCTATTCACTTGTCAGGTCAGTGGTTGTCAGGTGCTGGAGGGTTTCCTTTATGGGAAGGGGAAAGGTTTGCTAACACTAGCCTGGAGCAGCTCCTAACTGCACAGTCTACACTGCGGTGTTTGCTCTTCTGTGTTGGGTGTCTAAATGCCACGACTCTTCGTTGTGTAACTTGATTATTGGGTGGTCCCGTGTACCTCAGAGCCTGCTAGTGGCTATACTTTGTTTTTTCAGGTGAATGCTTTGTACTATGAAGCAGGCTTTGACATTTCAGCCTTTTTACAAATAAATATTTGCTGTTGTGTGAAAGCAGATTTTTGAGGTCTGCTTTCCATTCCTCCAGGTACTGCTTTTCCTCTGCTGTGTCCCCTTAATATTTATGGAACTGTTGTGAAAAGTTTAATGTGACATAAGCTAAATAAAGTGTTTTTGCATAATTTTGGTTTTAAAAATGTATTTGTTGGGAATATAAGAATTTTCAATAATTAGGCTAAGTAGTCAGTGTTCCATTTTAGGTATGCAGCACCCTTTAAGAATTTGATGAAAACCATGAACACTCTTCCTGGAAAAAGGTACATAAACACAAATGCTTGCTTGCAAATCAAGAGGGTTAGGAATGTCTGTCTTAAGCTATCAGACTTTTTTTACGATTTTATTAGAGAGTGCACAAGTGGCGGGGGGGGGGGGGAGGCAGAGGGAGAGAGAAAAATCTCAAACAGACTCCACACTCAATGTGGAGCTCGATGTGGGGCTTGATCCCAGGACCCCAAGATCATGACTTGAGCCAAAGGCAGACGCTTAACTGACTGAGCCACCCAGGTGACCCAAAGATTTTTTTAAACAGTAGCAATTTAATCTTTGGTCAGCTAATCTCACCCTTGTGATTTATGATCGCAGGTACTATGTGTTCAAACAAAAGGTGGCCCACCCATGTAAAAGTCCTAGCATGCCATACATCAATTATTTGGGTAGATTTTCTGTAATTACCCCATCTAAGTCAATTAGTATAATACCCCCATTAGGGATGGGGAGAAAAGTCACTCATTCATACTGAAGTGATCTTAATCCTAATAGTCGTTTGAAAATTTCCAACGTGTGTGGGGAATGGAAGATGCAAAACTTCTTAAAGGTATAAAACACGATCTCATAACACATGTTTGGGAATATGCTGAGCTTTGAGTGAGGAGAGGCTTGCTGGGCGGGAAGGGTAGAGTCTAGAAGCCTGGAGTACAGACTCAAGACTCAAAGACTTTTATCTTGAGAATGGATGTAAACAATTAGGCAGATGCGTTCCTTTTCCTGCAACTCTGACTTGCCCCAGAGTCAAAGGTTTCCAGAACCATCATGTCCCTTAAACTGAAAGGAAGAGAAGGAAGTAGAGATTCAGCCTTTTGCCTCTGGCAGAACCGGAGCAAGGAGCATCTAACCAACTGAGTGGCTTAGAGAAAAAGTTTGGGTAACACTTCTCACTTAAATGTCACTCTGGGATTTTTGTTCATCTATGAAAAGAAATTAAAGCATCAAAAGACTTTTTATTTTTATTTATTTATTTTTAAAAGATGTTCTTTTTTTTTAAGATTTATTTATTTATGATAGACATAGAGAGAGAGAGGCAGAGACACAGGAGGAGGGAGAAGCAGGCTCCATGCCGGGAGCCCGATGCAGGACTCGATCCCGGGACTCCAGGATCACGCCCTGGGCCAAAGGCAGGCGCTAAACCGCTGAGCCACCCAGGGATCCCCCAAGAGGCTTTTTAATTATTTTTTATTTTTATTTTTTATTTATGATAGTCACACAGAGAGAGAGAGGCAGAGACACAGGCAGAGGGAGAAGCAGGCTCGATGCACCGGGAGCCCGACGTGGGATTCGATCCCGGGTCTCCAGGATTGCGCCCTGGGCTAAAGGCAGGCGCCAAACCACTGCACCACCCAGGGATCCCCCAAAAGACTTTTTAAACTGCAAAGTACCCTTTTCTCCCCATCACTTTCATCAATTTGGTAACATCAAGACAGATTCTTTTCAACTGGTACCCATTACATGAAGCTGCTTGCAATGTCTGACCCACAGAAGCGGCCACTGGTGCTGGAAGTCTGGTCATCTCCCGCAAGCCTCCTTGGCTTCCCCCAAGGTGTGTACTTGGTAGATAGAGAAGGGGAACTGACTGAGGTGGTGGTTAGGACAGTGGTGTCTCTCAAGTGTCAAGAGACGCAGGTTAGGAGCAGTTAACCCAGGAACTGGTTCAGTTCTAATCACACTCTGTTTCAGTGGGAAATAGTGGTGATAGAATTCTTTGGAAGGCAGGTGGTTTTGCCTGTAACATTTGTTAAATGTTTGCTTTGGAGAGAGCTGGGAATAGAAAAATCTAGGTGAACCTGGAGGCTCAGTTAAGAGTCTGCCTTTGGCTCAGGTCATGATCTCCGGGTTCTGAGATCAAGCCCCATGTTGGGCTCCTCACTCATGTTTGCTTGTCCTTTCATCCCACTCATGTTCTCTCTCTTACATCTTAAAAAAAATATCTGGGTGAAATAATCCTTTCTTTTCTACCTCCCTTCCCTGCCATGCTGCCTTCATCCTTCCCTACAGACTTGGAGGGTCACACACTGGGTAATGTCCACATCTACAAGTTGTGGGATTTTAGATCTCCTCTAAGTTATTCTGTATAAAGTTAAATAAGTAGAATATCAAATTCAGCTTAGAATTAAAAACCAATAAATCCCAATATTTTAAAAATAATTTTTGTTCTGTGGAAGATTATGTATAACATTTAATTTGTAATATAATCCAGCACAACAAAAGGATGGATATTTTTTTGTTTGTTTTAATGAGAAACATACATACCACAAATAGCTTCAAGTTTTGGTAACAACCCCCCACCCCATGGCCAAATAGCTAAACAAAACCTGAAGCATCACTTAAAAGGTGAAAAGTCTTATAAAATTAACTTACAAAAACATCCCTAATCAAGTAGTTTGGCATTTACTGTACATTAGTCAAAAGCTCAAGCTAAAATCTGATTTTTTTAAAAAAATCAAAGTTTACATTATTCATACAGATTCAGCATTGTTAAAAAATATGCACAAATAACCACATCCATGCAATATAATTTTTTTAAAAATTTAAAGCAATATAAAAGAGCAGACCTAAGTACAGAACAGAACATTTTGGTTTATAACCTGTAGCTCAAGACTGCTAGCTGATTGGAGTAACATTAATTCTAAATATTTTAAATATGATTGTTTCAATCAATCAGCTAAGGGTGCCTGTGAGTTTCTGAACCATTTCTAAGGTGGAATCTACTTGCTTGTTTCTGTAATATGTGATGAATGCTACTGTTCATGGAGCATATGAGCTACACTTTGATAGTGTTTTACAGATAAATCAGAATTTCACAGAGTGCTTGGCTCTTTGGGGAAACTGCAGTTTCCACAGATCCCGAGACCAATTGACTAGTTTTGCCAAACTGCCCGAGGTAACTGCTGCCCAGGCTCCCGGCCCCCAGGGAGGAAGAGCAGCTGAAAGCTGCCCTGGATCCCGAGAGTGAGAGCCCTCTCTGCTGAGCCTGGAGGCCGGGTCCGCAGCAGGTCCCTAGGTCAGGCCAACGCTAAGGGCCCCTCACTGACCGGTCTGGGGCCACGAGTTGGGCACCCATGAGAACGGGCTGGTGGTGCGGTGCTGCAGGCCAGGCGGGGCCTCTAGGTGGGAGGGGGCCCGTTGGTGTACCTCAGCATGGGGTAAAAGGACCTGGCGAAGTTGTTGGCCTGGGTGCAGCTGTAGTCCTCTTCGGAGGAGGGCAGCAGGCAGGCCAGGAGCAGCAGCAGCAGGAGGAGAAGCTGTAGGGGCAGTGCGGCCCGGATCACCCGCGACACGAAGGAGCGCTGTGGCCGGGAGCTGCCGGGGCAAGCAGGGCCGGGCACCCTGCCAACGGACGAGGTGGAGAGCTGAGCAGGAGACTCCAGAGGCAACCCCCCCCCAACCCCTGCCACACCTCGGGTTACCCGACCCCTCGCTTGTGTCAAGTAAGACATCCAGGACCTGAGATTAAAGTGGTTCAGTCCTGGAAGAGCAACCCAGCCCTTTCCAGACCAAAGGAAAAAAAAAAAACCCAGTCTCTTTGTTAACAAAGACCTCAAGTGTGGCCTGGGGGAAGGTGGGTATGGTGCCTGTGTGGAACAGGGGGACTCACTGCTGTGACTGCGGGGCCCCCTTACCTGCTGTCCATCTTATTCTGGTCTTTTGTCATTCTCTCTGCTCCACACTGCTAGATAAAAAATAATCCAGTTAGTAATTGAAGACTTAGTCCTGGCCAGGATAAAACATGCCTGCCTTAGGTCGTCTTCCTGCCAAGCTTTTGAGACCAGAGTAATACATTTGAGATTGTACTCCATGAGGTAAGAGATAATTGGGTTTGTTAAACTAATGAGAGTTTCACGGTCCCGTCTGTTGATTGGTGGTTAATGGGGGATATTGGGAAGCCCCCTCCACAATACTAGAAGGGCACCCGTCTTTCACAACCTTCTTCAGTTCCAGGGAAGAGCAGCTGATAAGACAGCCTTTCAGATGGGTTGGTTGTTAAAGGTGTATTTCAATTTTTTTTTAATCTTTAGAGTCAGCCTCTCCACTGACCAGCAGGTGGAAGTGGATCTGTGCTACCGTGAAATGAGGGACAGGGCCTTGGGAGTCTCCAGTTCCTGTCACCTCGGTAACTTTGAAAAAACCACCAGCGCAATCCTCATGGCAGAAAGGGGCTCTCACCTGTGCTTGGGGAGCTGGCACGGATGCTCCTGGAGGCTGGTCTCCGGAGTCTACCTCGTCCAAGCTGGGCAGAGATGGATCCGGGTTCTGAAATCCACACCCCAAGGATTCAGTTCAGGGAAACAGAGGGTTCTGAATAGTCTCAAGAGCACAACAATGTGCTTCATGCAGATTCTTCACTGGTTTTACTCACCCCCTCCCCCAGCTCAAATCTTTCTGGAAGAAGGAGCTCCTCTTCTCACTCCCCACTTTAACATTTCTTTTTGTCTGGAAAAGTCCCTCTCAGACAAGGCAAGGCCAACCACTAGCATTAAACACCGATAGCACCCACTGGGGGACACTGAGTTTAGCTGCAGCAAGAGGGACAGGATCAGTGGACAGTGAGCTTCAGATGTGCTCATGTAATCACATGGCCACCAACACACCAAAGCCTCGGCTGCATGGGCAGAAATGTAACTCCAGAATGGAGAGGGCAGGCCTGCTCTAAGTCTGGTGAGGCCATAGCTTGGGTTTTTTCAGACTTGGATCACATTTTAAAGAGAAGATAGAGAACTGGCGGGGGGGCGGGTTCAGGGGACAGTGACCAAGACAGTGAAGAGGACTCTGTTCAGCATGGAGGCAGGTCAGAGATGATAGAGGGATTAGACTTGTTTTTCATAGGCCAGCCATATGAACATGTAGATACTACATTCTTGTCTTCCCCTTCCAAATGACAGGACAGCGTCAAAGAGCTAGTGTAACTTTTTAAGGCCCCACAGCTTTTAGTAAGGGACAGGACTGGAGACTGCTCAGATCACGTGCTAACGGCCTCCCTCTTGCAGCAAGGCTGCCATACTGCTTTCCTGTTCATATCTAAGCAGACATCTTTCTATTTAAAAGCACAAGTGGGGGGCCTGGGGGACTCAGTTAAGCATCTGCCTTCGGCTCAGGTCATGACCTCAGGGTTCTGGGATCGTCCCTTTGCTCAGCAGGGAGCCTGCTTCTCCCTTTCCCCTCTGCCAGTTGCTCCCCCTGCTTGTGTTCGTTCTCTATCAAATAACATCACTTAAAAAAAAAAAAAAAAAAAGCTGTAAGTGGACGCACCTGGCTTCCCTGCAAGGACATTAAATCTTGGGACACTTGCTCCAGTAACTGGTTGAGTTTCTTCTCAATAACATGTACCTTCTCTTCAGCCTCAATATAGTCTTTTCCATGCCCCTTAGTAAGAAGACTGTCTGAAATCTCTCGTAAAGTGTTTACTGGAGGTTGATGTTCCACGAGCTCCTTTTCCAGTTGCTATAAATAAAATACAGTGTATGAAATAGCTGCTTAGTGTGGCCAGAGGAGGGTTTCTTAGTGCTGGGAAAGCTCAGGATGAATGAGGGGCGGGGGTCAACTCCAGAATCTTCTGCTTATGTGTGCCTGTGGGTGTCTTCAAGCCCAGCATCATTTGGGCAGCAAGTATGTTATACTCTGTTTTCCACTCCTTCTTACTCTGAAGACAATTTAATGCTGGAGGAGAAAGAAGTAAGTGGAAGATGGGACTTTGGTCCACTGTAGGAGGAAGTCAAGGAAACATCTAAATTGGACAAGTTGAGAAACAGCAGCTCAAGAAATAAAGGCATGTGTCAAATTAGCCTGAATTGTGGATTCCCTTGCTTGCTGTCCGATATGATAGCCACTAGACAACATGGGGCTATTTAAAATGAAAAATTCAGTTTCAGTTACAGTAGCCACATTTCAACTGCTCCACAGCCACCTGGGGCTAGTAGCTATCATACTGGAGAGCACAGACACAGAACATTTCCTTCATGCAGAGTTTGTTGAAGAGTGCTGCTCTTGAGAGTGGGACTTTACAAAGATTTTAGCATAAGAATGTTTATTAAATAATAACCAGTACTTTATAATTGAACCACATACAAATTTATGGATAAGAATGTCACCTGGTTAGTGAAATAAATATATGAAAACATAACTAATCACTGACCTCTACCCCTGAAACCAATAATACATTATATGTTAATTAAATTTAAATTACAACACAACACAACTACCCTTCAAGAAATAAGACTTTTCTATAGTGGATTTAGAAAACTTTACAGCTCATTTGTGTCTATTGAGTAATTGAGCATATTTTCCCCTGAATGAGTCATATTCACAATGGAGAAAAGACTTCTAGTCAAATGGCCTTAAGTATCTCAGGATATTGCTAAACACCTATGTCCCCAAGTCCTGGGAGTCTAAGAGACTTCTTGCTTTTGGCCATGGCTCGTCCTGCAAGTCATTCTGCTTCAGAACTACTTATAGATACCAAGCCAGGCAGGAGTGCAGAACGCCACACTGGCATCATTCCCAGGAACACTAGGTGAGGCTACCTAAGGGCTCACCTGATGGAGGTCAGTGACAATGCAGACCCCCCTTAGAAGAAACTTACCATCAGTTCTCCCTGACACTCCAGGAGGACCTGTGGGTCGGCCTCTGGGTCAGTGACATGAGCCTTCTGCCTCCGGCTCTCAGCACTTGCTAACCATAGCAACAGATCTTGACTCAACTGATGGAAGTCCTTAAAAAAAAAAAAAAAAGCACAGACATACACACATCACGGCACTGCCTCTTCTGTAAAGGAAGGTGTGCTGAGAAACAGCGTGTTGGGCCTTCATAGTATTTACTCTTCTTGTCTTTGTGCAGTGAATAAAAGGGCCAGATTTATTTTTATTTTTATTTTTTTTAAAGATTTTATTTATTTGTTCATGAGAGACACAGAGAGAGGGAGGCAGAGACACAGGCAGAGGGACAAGCAGGCTCCATGCAGGGAGCCTGATGCGGGATTCGATCCCAGGACTCCAGGATCACGCCCTGGGCCGCAGGCAGGCGCTAAACCGCTGAGCCACCCAGGGATCCCAAAGGGCCAGATTTAAATGAAATGTCAGGGCCCCAAAACAAGGAAAAGGGAAAGCAGAAGAGAGGATACAGTCCTGGGAGGCATGTTAAATTCTGTCAAGTGAAAAAGGCTAGTAGAAAGGCAGGGTTTCAGAATGCTCCCCACCATGGCTATTACAAATACAACGCAAACTACTAAGCAAATCTGCTGGATTCAGTGGCAAAGGGAGACACTTCAATAGGGCAGGCTGTGGCCCAGGGACAGGGCTGCGCGGGGGCTTGCCGGTGGGCTTGTGTTCCTAAAGATGGGGTCAGAGCTAACACGGAATGAGCATTTACCATGTGTTCAGTGTTGGGCTAAGATTATACGAATTTAGTCCTAAAAAGAAGCTCACGAGGTAAAGACTAACATTATTCTCATTTTTTAGATAAGGAAACAGAGGTCTAGTAGGCACAGTGATTTGCCCAGTCACACAGCTACTAAAGCTCTAGAGTTGGGTTAACCACTCCTTCTCTGGGCCAGGTCTATATGGTCCTGGCAAAAGGACAGAGATGGGGCCATGTGGGGTGGCATTTCTGACCTACTGGAATGTTCTCTGGAACCCTTATGCAAGGAATGGGCCTGGGCAACAGAACAGGAGACACAGGGTAAGTGGCAGGTCTCAGGGACAGCAGCTGGGCCTCTTGGAAACAAATGGTAAAGCACATTTCCCTAACACAAGCCATATTTGTGCCAAAGCAGCCCCATGATAAAAATATCTGCTTCTCCCACCCACGTGGGCCTGGCTGTGCCCAGGACTGGGTCCTAGGTGCCGGCATACCTGGCACTGCATGAGGGACTGCCGTAAGCCCTCTCTCCAGCTCTCCACAGCTCCCTGTGCCGCGTCCCAGAGCAGCCCCAGCTGGCCAACTCTACCCTGGAGCTCGTTGGACTCCGCGCTCTCAGTCTGCAGAAATTCCTGGCTGCTCGTGTTGACGGAGACCACTAGAGCCTTGTAGGTGTCAAAGGCTTTTAAGATCTCCTACCGCAGAGGAAAAGGACTGGGTTAAGCATCCTGAAAATAGTGATGTCGGGTTCATGTGAACCTCAGTGGGGAATGGATCTGCCAAACACTTCTCTAAGCCGTGGCCACAGAAACAAGAGTGACCTTGCCTGTAACTGGCTGAGCAGCATCAGGTGAGGAGCTGTCTTACAAGGTCAGTGACCTCGGCTGGCCAGGCTGAAAGCAGAGGCCAGTCTGCTGGCTGGCCAACTCAACCAGAGGCATGAATAGACCCCCTGAGCCCTGGTGGGCTTATTTTTTGACTAGATTAAGTGTCTTCTAGATAAAGGACACATAGTTATCCTGCACATGCCCCTAGATATCAGAGAAGTGTTATTCCTTAGCATGAACAGTAATTCTAGATATTTTAGTGCATAAAATAATAGTACCAATGTGAAAACTGACTGGATACCCCAAACCCCTGCCCTGGGTTATCTTAGGAGCTCAGGCTCATGCTCAGGGGACCCTCCAAGTGCAGGGCTCAAATGTCCTCTTCTCCCGGGCTCCCTGGCCAGTTCTGGTGGGGTAACGGCTGAATATGTGGGTGACAAATCCTGTATAACAGAGTAACCACATCAGGCCACAGAATCCATCAGTAGGTGAGCTGGTCCTTCTCCTCATCCTCAACACTTTACCACCAGTGTGGACAGCACAGTTTGGAAGGGTGTTTTTAAGCTGCCTGGCAGTGGTCACTAGCACCTCCATGAGTCTAGGCGGGTCTCTGAAGTCAGATATTTCCAGCACAGGGGATCTGAGATGCACCTCCCCAGTGCCTCTTTGGCCTTTGGGATCATATGCAGACACTCTTCTGAATGAAAACAAAAACCTACATCCATGTCCTTGCCAGTTACAGAAGTGGAATGGGCCAGAATGCTCCCATACCTGTCTGCAGTGTGCCACCTGCACCACTGACAGATGTGCCCTGCTGGCCCTGCCCAGCAAGTGTCCACATGCACGTTCTGAATCCCTCTTCCCTCCATGCCTGCCCCTCACCTTGAGCCGCTTCACTCGGAGCTGCATTTCCCGGATATCAGAGGGAGGCTCTGCCGCCTTTAATGTCTCTAGCTCTGCTTCAGTTTCTTTCAGCCAAGTGGTGATGTCACTGATCTCAGAGTTCAGCTGCTGCAAGTTCTGTTTTATTCGGAGTTGATTGTGAAGTTCTTGTGCTTGAATAAGCTCCCATCTGTCAAAGGCACCTGGAATAAAAAGTCACCGATGAAAAGAAGCAATAGTGCTGACAGATCTCTCTGCCTCCGACTTAGTCCACGGTCAGGGTGACAAAACCTGTAGGGGATGCTCCTTGCTGAGGGCTCAGGTTTAGGAGTTCTCACTTCCCCCGGAAGGATGCAATAGCATGCTTCCCTTGCTTTCTTTCAAGGCTTGTGCCACAACCTTCTCACAAAGGCTAGAATGAGCTGGGGAGCGGGGGGCAGGAGACCCAATGGTATTGCCAACGTGCACTGAGGGCCCACGTTCAGCATTTTAGTTGATGCTGTTTTTAGGGCACTTTGTCTTTTGGTTCATAAAACATCAAGTCAATGCTATTAGTTTGACTTTCGGCTTAGTTGAATAATTACTTTTAAAATCATTGAACCTGTCTTGTGAGGAGACACCTGACAACCCTTTGGTCATCATCTACATGTCTGATCTTTACTTATAATTGACATCATTAAAACATGCACTTCACCATATGAGGCTCATTCTGTTAATATTTAAATAATAGTTTTGAAAGTAAACAGCTTAGGAATTTGTTCATAAATACAAATCAGCTGGTTCTGTTTCTTCATTTTTAAAAAATTTCTTTTAAAATAATCACTATGCCCAACATGGGGCTCGAATTTAAAACCCCAAGATCAAGAGCCGCACCCTCTACTGACTGAGCCAGCCAAGTGCCCCATAAGTCAGCTGATTCTAAAGTAACATTGACTGCTATAGGCTGTTTTGGTAGATTATAGTTGTTCTTTTTTTTTTTTTTTTAAAGGTGGGGAGAGGCAGAGGGAGAGAGAGAATATTAATAAGTAGGCTCTACATTGCATGCAATCCACCCACACATGGCTGGATCTTATGACCCTGAGATCATGACCTGAGTTGAAACTAAGAGTTGAACGCTTCACTGAGCAATCCAGGTACTCCTAATTGTTCAATTCTTAATTAATGTTCTGTTGAACAATGACTTAAAGTAAATGCTCAGCTAACTCAAAATACAGCCTTTGCCTGTCCTAAAAACTGCCTAATTTAACTGTACCTGACTGCTGCCTGGTGAGAGCAGCCAGTCCTTCGTCTTCCTGCCGTGAGCTGCCATTCAAGACTCTAGAGCCTTCTTTACCACCATCAGTGCCCGGGGATAGCAGCAGCTTTACCTAGAATAAGCCAGTTTTTACATTACCATTCATAAAATTTCAACAGCTGTGTGAAGATTATCTTGGTTCATAGTAACAGGTAGGAAATGAAGATACGGGATCTCTTTCCTTTGAAGGGTAACTTGCTATTAATATGGAAGTTTTTAGTGTATTGGGTGCATTTATAAGTAAGCAGAGCTAACAGAAATAAAGCCTTGGTAAAGGCCAAGATGGTGGGGAAGCAGGTGAGATGTCAGTGTTGGAAATAAAATGGCCTAATCTGGGGCTTCCTAACACTCCTCAAATGAACCATGCAAAAAAAGTTAAAAACTTTTTAAACTTTTGCCAGGCTGTTACTGTGTGCACTTTCACATTTGTACAGTGTTTTGCAAAATTCAGTACTCCCTCCTAGTTGCTCTCTAGAGCTGGTTGGCAGGTTATCACCAGGAATTGGAAACACACAGAGGACAAATCTGCCTCTTGGGGCCATTCATTACCAAGCATTTATCTTTCACTGCACATATTGACTCTTCTATTAGCACAGAGCTCATTGGGCTATTATTATCTCAGGCCTTTCCAAAAATAAATGTATCCTTTTTAGAAAAGCCAAGCTTTCTTTGGTTTGTGTCCATATGGCCAACTTGTGTGGAATGCAAAAAAAAAAATAAACCTCTTCAGATTTCTGGTGACATGCCTAGTTTCAGACACACACACAAAAAAATCAGTGGAACTTTTGAAACTGGCCAGGTGAAGAACACAAGCATAATCACTGGGAGAGGCCAAACCAGGTGGCCCTGGATCCAAAGCAAAGGTGAGGTGCTGGGGTCCCTCTCCCTCAGACTGTCAGGTCTTATTCTGTATCCCAAAGGGACAGATTAAAACTGACAACTGCTTGCTAAGCAAGAGGAGGAGCTGCTGAATTGGGCATGGCAGCCCACTATCAAATGACTTGGGTCTGTCTGTATTGCTAAAATCTTCTCCAGTTATCCAGCAATATTCACTCTTAGACACAGAGGGTACTTTGAGGACTAATCCAGTGATGGTCACACTGCTTCTGGTTTCTCTAAAAGATGATTATTAAAAGTGCACACAGACATCCTAATATCAACTCGCTCGTCACTAATTCCCTGTACTAGGGATGATCTGGAGCCAACATTAAATCCTAGGCTGGCTGCCCCCAACAGCTGCGTAGCCAGAGCATGCCAAAGACTCATGTTGCCTGAGGAAAACATAATGAAGAAGGAACAGTCACTCTTATAAACAACGACAAACCATATATGGTAGTAATAGTAATAATAGTAACAGTGACCACTTGGCAGGGTCTTCTTCATACTTTTGTACAAATCAGTTCCCACAATGATTAGGTTTAGCCTCAGCCTCAGGCAAGGAAGGTTTACAGAGGCAAGGCAAAGTGCTATGGCCCCAGAGCAGTTTATTGGTACGGTTAGGAATCAAACCCACATCTACCATAAAACACGGTCAAATCTTTCTAAATATGAAGGCACAATGTTTTGAATAGGATGCATAGTCGAAAGGTAAACAGAACACAGTTTGGGAGCTCAAGAGCAGCTTGGGAAAGCCAGTGCTTTGCTTCCCCACTACTCACACGGATGACTGGCTCAACAGTAATAATCACTGCCCCATCATGTCAATACACACAAAAACTGTTCTTGGCCAGAAGCCAGTCTTTAATCTGTTCTGCCAGGGTTCTAATGATGTATGGACAGGTCAGCAGAGATACTATCACTATGGGAAAACCAGCTCAAAATACACGTGGAAAGCAAGCACATACAGCACACACCAATATCCCTCCCTCTCTTCAAAACTTTAACTATTAATCATGCACTTGAGTTATATGTTCTCAGTGCAGCCCAGACTTACATAGGCCGGTTTATAAGGGGTGCTGGAATCTGAGGGGATGGTTTGTACATTCCTATCACCTCCCATTTGTTTGTAGTGATGCTTGGGGCAGGAAGGGCTGTCAGGAACATGCCATGAGTGGTCCTCAGAAATGGATTTACCTGAAACAAAATATAGCAAGTGACAGTCTGTTCTAAGCAAAGGATTCATATTTAGTTACACAAAAAAGGTCATGGGTAACATGGCGTCAGGTTATAGTATAATATGAGTTCTGCAGCTTTCCTTGCAAAGCATGCATGTTTGCAAAAATGTCAGTATGTCCCAGAAGGGAATGAAATGAGAGTCATGCAACTGAGCAGCATTGTGCCTTCACTAGATGGGTTCACAATGGAGCACAACAAACATATGATTTTTTTGCAGGATGAGTGGCATTTTGGAGCCAGGACATCTAGTAGTGGGGACACTGGCAGCAAAGCTGGGGCTGGGGGCCAAGAGGACTGAAGGCCTCTCAGGAGAGGGGTAGAGTGAGCATCAGGATGGACTTGGGGACCAAAGGGCCACTTGTGGGTCTACCCCCACTATTGCACATGGGATGGGACAGGGAACGAAGGTTAGAGCTGCAAGTCAAGGAAAGGAAAGTTTCTTCTCCTGTGGCAAATGCAACAGTACTTTTACCCCCACCCACCCATCTTCTTCCCAGGAAACACCATAAGCAAGGAAGGGAGTAGTTCCAAACCAAGCCACCGTGAAGAAAGCTTGGCCTATGCCAAAGAACCTCAGTTAGATGGGGGGAAAATAAACATTTTAAAAGGCACCATGAAAGATTCCCTTCCGCACAGGCCTGAGGGGTAAGAGAGGGGTGGCGTGGAGACTGCTTTTTTTTTGGCCAGGGTTTTGTCAGGAGCACGCAGGTACGTGTGAGTACGGCAGTGTAAATACACCATGACACAAGGACCAAGGTGCATGGTGTCCACAGAAGGCAAAGGTCAGACATGACATGGGAGCGAGGTTTAGGATGCAGTGTGCGCCACAGGACGCTGCCATGTTGAGACACATGCACGGGCAGGGGCCTACCAGAAGATGCTTTCAAAGTTTTTGTGGTCATTTTAAGATATGCCTCAGGATTTTCAGGGATTTCTACATCTGAAAAAGAATAATGTCATTTTCCTCACTGTAGTCTGTAGATGAATGCCCAAGTATTAAGTTAAAACATAGAAACATTGTCAGCGGGAGAAGAAAAGTAACTACCCTTTATCTGTTTTATTAGAAAGCTTGAAAAAGCCAAAAGGATTTTTTTTCCAGCCAACTCTTGACTGTCTGAAGCAGTAGCGGGAGTGGGTAATGTCCACAGAAAGAACGGAGACGATCTACCGATACTCTAAGAAACTAAATTGAAAAGTTCACTGATGAGCCTCCCAAACAGCCAGCGCCATCAGGGAATAGCCTTCCTGTTCCAAGGTGAATTTCATTTTGTTTTCCCTTTCATTCTGCCTGTGATAGGGGTGAGCCACTCTCAGGTAAGTCAAAGTGGGCAGGATAGAACACAAGAAGCCACAGAGGTCTGGTCAGCCATGAGCTGGACTCTGGGCCATCCAGAGGTGGCCGTCTTGCTAAGGTGCTAAAAACATAACCTTGGGTCACCCTCAAGGGCTCTGGAGACCTGAGGCCATTACCTGACAGCGCGCTGTAGTATGGGCCTTCCTCGTCATCTTCGTGAGAGGAGGAGCCCCCTACGTCCCCTGTGTGATCCCATTCCAGAGGGATGGAGTCCACGCTGACAGGGGTCTCGCAGCCAGACCGCTCAGGCCCCGGCGCCGGGGGCACCAGGTGACAAAGGGACTGGGGAGACGAGGGCTCCTCACTCTCTCTCCTTTTACGCCAGGAGTCAGCCTGGATTTCTCTGGGGTCCTCCATGTCCGTTTCATTCTCTGAGGCCTCTTTTTCTTCTTCCAATCCCTAAAAGCAGGGATGTCTGGTTTTCAGAATGAACCAGATTATAGGCTGCTGTGGGTGTGAGGAGCGCTGGGAGTCTGTCTGTCTGTTTAGCTGTGCCTGAAAATGGCTGCCATTGGCATTTCTGCGGCAGCTTTAGAAAAGAATCGGGTTCCCAGGGCCTATTTGTGTTTGTTCTAATTTGGACTCTCTGGCGTGAGGCCTAGAATCTGTATTTTTCCTAGGAAAAATCTGAAGTTTGGTGATCTGAGGTAAGCAACGTTTATACAGAGAATAAGAAAGGGCGGCTAAAGTTTCATTGGCAGTTAATGGCAGGTTTACACCAACAAGCAGATCATTTAAATTAAAAAAAAAATGTAAAGGCCATTAAGAGGGTTCTTTCTTTCTTATCCTCAATCTTATTGTTCAGGATATAGAACCTTAGTCTCCCTATGTTGTAATGCCTCAGTCTAAGAAAAAGGACTATAAACTGCTATGTTTAGGAATGAGGGAATTATACCCTAATTTTTAAGGCTAGGTCTGATGAACAAATAACTATCAAGTTAGCCAGTTGGGGACCCAGAACTGGAGAAAGCGGCCAGTTGTGTTGGTCAATAGGGTCATCATTAAAGCTTCTGGCGCACGAAGGCAACGAACGTTGAATAATAGCCTGAACTCCACCTGAACTTCCTAAAAGGTCCCTCTGTCAAGGGAAACTTTGCAGCTGCCTTGGAAAACTGGTGCTTTTGACCCTTCAAAGGTGAGAACAGAGCACCAGAAAGGCACAAATGTTAAAAGCTTCCAGACACTAGCAGAAAAAGTTACTTCTATAAGCAAAACGAGAACACATACCACCGTATCCTAAGGATACAGACACGTCGGGAAAGCCCCGTACAGAGAACACATGGATAACAGGTAAGAGGATCAAGGAGTTGCGGAAGTGCCATCATTCCAGTGGGGGTGGGAGCCTCTAAGTAAGTAGGACTCCCTACTTACTATTCTCCCTACTCTATTCCTTACGGGAATAGAGCCAAAATGAAACTAAAAATCCTCCCCTGCCCCCCTTTTAACCATAAAATACATCATAGCTGACTGTTCCATAGATCTCTCATTCTTTACAAATTTGGTCAAGTGTCAAGTCTCAGTAGCCCGGAGGCCCTCGGAGCGAGGGTGGCGCTCCACTTACCGGAGTGTGGGAGGTCAGCCTGCGGTGGAACCGGGAGACCCGGCCAAAGACCTCCTGGCAATACCGGTGCAGCTCCTCCAGCTCGTCCTCGATCAGCACGGCATCCAGGGGCTCGCTCTTCTGTATCAGCTGCTCCCCAAAAACGATGAGCTGATCAATCTTGTTGGTGTTTAATGTAATTTCTTGTTGGAAACCCTGTTTAGAACATGAGAAAGAAAGGATTGCAAAGGAGGAAAGTTTCCCCGAGGATCCAGTGTTGGTCTCTTTTAACAGGGCCATAGAGCGAGCATCCAAACGTCACTGCTACCTTGCTCCTGAACCTAGCACTCTAGCTTTGTCAATTTTTAACAAAGCGACAATAAAGATTTCATAATTTAAAATGACTGCTTGTTATTTTTTCCCCTCTCCTTTCTGGGCATGAACTTCTTCAATCAAGATAATTCTAAAAGTGTGGCAGGGATAGGCATTTACTGTTATTGGGTGTGAGGGAGAAAACTTGTCTTATTGATGCTTGGTGGAAACAGAAAATTTCCCATAATAAGCCACCCACAGGCATTTGCTTTTGCTGACACAATAATCATCTCATTGGTGCCATTATATCAGGGAAGGCAAACTTCTATTTTTCAATTGCTTGTAAAAGCCAAGGAGGGAATTATAGTGAAATTAAAGTGAAATACAGATATTTGGGAGAGCAGAAGAGATCTGTTCTTAGCTCCACTAAAAAAATTTTTTTTAAATAAATTTATTTATTTGAGAGAAAGAGTGAGTGAATGAGAGAAAGAGAGAGGGCATAAGCAGGAAGAGGAGAGGGAGAAGCAGACTCCCTGCTGAGCAGAGAGCTTGATGAAGGGCTTGATTCCAGGACCCTGTGATTGTGACCTGAGCTGAAGCAGATGCTTAACTAACTGAGCACCCAGGTACCCCAACTGGTCCCCCTCTTGATATAGATTTTCTTCTTGTCACATGCTACATGTTGCACTCAGACTCCAAGAGCTAGGGAAAGAGCATCTTATGAAATTGTTTCTGTTTGGAACCTAGAGAGCATTCTTCCCGTGGTTGATTATAAATGAAAAAGAATAAAGAGTCTTGTTCTGAATGACCCCTTGACTAAGGAATAGTATCCTCGCTCATGATAACCCCGCAGGACACACGTGGGTAGAGCTGGCTGCTTTTAACAATTCTGGAATCTGCTCTTAGGGTATCAGGTAAAGTTTGTACTTGGCCAGCTCTCCTGGGCAAAGGTGCATTCTTCTGAGAGGAGCCAATGAAAAAGGCCTTACGTTCAGCTGGCGCATCTTGTCATCAGCATCACTCTCTGAGAAGTGCTCCACGTTGGTCAGCTGCAGGTCCATCTCTGTGAGCCACACCAGAATGCTCTCCCTGGTCCCCTCGAATTCTTCCCTTTGGTTGGTGAAATGCTGCGAAAAGGTGGAAAATATGTTTGTTTTAATGGCACAAGACAGTTCAGGTAGACAGCAATGTTATTTCTGACCGAGAGGAAAGGGTACCCCAGGAGGCCCACAGGGCATTGGGCGGTCAGTGTGGGGTCAGGAGCCTGGCTCCTGGTCCTGGCTGTGTGATAACAAACAAGCCACCCCCCCAACTTCTCTGAGTCTTCATGTCTTCACTGGCAAATCAGGGTGTGGGATGTTGACTATGATGTCACAGGTCCTTTCAGCATTTGAAATTCTATAATTCTCTAAGTCAGTGATTCCCCAACCTGCCCTCAAAGTCCCCCTCAAAGTCCTGGCCAGGCACCTTGGGGTGTTTTTACCTTGTTAGCCTTCTGTGGAAGCTGTTGCTTGACCAGAAGATTTAGTTTCAAGATGGAAAAGTACTGATCTCAGGGTGAAGCCTGGCCTAATGCCCCATTTGCCTTCCGTGAACTAATCCTGAATGTGCTCCCTCCAAGAAAGAAGACCTAGATTTATCGCCTCCAATTAAGGATGTCTCTTGGGTTACCACCTCACAGATGGGCAGCTGATTCTCAGACAAACAGTATTCAGTGCCAAATGAAGGTCTACCCTGGTCATAGTCTAATCAGCAGGAGATCAAGAAATTAATGCAGCTGTCTTTTCAGTTGTCTGAAAAGCTAGCCTATTTTTTTCCTCAGGGGTAAATAAATAAATAAATAAATAAATAAATAAATTCAGATTCTCATCATCTTAGAAGGATTTCAAGAGTGTTCTGCTCTGAGGACAGAAGCGGGGATTGAAATTACTTCCTGCAGTCACAAACCACCCTGGTCCTGTCAGTTTACACCTAGACCTACAAAGGTTAACATATCATGTCTCCTGCATTACGGAAATCTTAGGTGAATGTCTATATTCAAAAATCAAACCAGCCTTTAAGGTTAAGTCAACGTGCTCTGAAATTTGGAGAATAATCATGGTCTCCAAGCTCACAATGCAGAGGGGGCTCTGTCTACATCTCTTAGAACCAGCGGGACACACAAAAACAGGCAGATGGGCAAGGTGGGCCTCGTTCCAGGCTCGAAGGCCCCTGTGCCTGACCTGGTGATGGCAGTGGGCTCGACTCTGGATAGTCTGTGAGCCAACGTGCAAACTTTTAGGGTTTACAGAAGTCGGAAAAAGATGTGCTCAGTACCACAGGCCCTGCCTAACAAGCCTATTCTTGGGCAAACGACCTCTTAAAAAACACAAAACAAAGCAAAACAAACCATGAACACTGGCAGCTTTGGCTTAGACCAAAGGGAAGGCCTGCTGGAAGAATGTTAAGATACCTTAGGCCTGAACTGAAATCTACCCATTGCTTTGCTACAAGCCTGGTATCGCCTATCGCTTCTCCCTGACGGCCTACGGGTAAGGCGGGTGACGGAGAGAAGGTTACTCTGAGTCTCCGCAGGACAGCCGTGACCCGCTTCTGGAGGTTGTCCCAGCGCTGGTTGCCCTCGTGCACCATGTGCTTCAGCTTGCTGGCCGTGTCGGTGCGGTTCTCCCGGGCCAGCCGCCGGTACTGCTTGTTGATGAGCTCCAGCTGCGTGAGCCTCTCGTGGATCTGCCGCTGGAAGGCCTGCGGCGCACAGGGGAGCACACAGGAGGGCGTCAGGGCCAAGGCCGGCATGCCCCCTCCCCGGCCGCGGGCGGCCTGCTTCGAGAGGTTGATCCCCGGGCCAAAATGACAACAGAGCCCACCTCGCCTGCTCTGATGCTAAAGGACAGGCTCTCGAGTTCACTGCATGCCGCTGGGCATGACTCGGTCTTGTCTGGCAAAGCCGTCTGGGCAGCTGCTGGCAGGTGGCGGACTGGGCGACCCCGGCCAGGGGTGGGGAAAGCCAGCCACCAAGAGGAAGCCATTTGGGCTGCCTTGGAGCCCAACTAGAGGCTTGGTTATCAGGAACACCGGGCTAGAGGGGGCTTTACCTCAAACCTCTTCAGCTCTTCTTTGGCATTTGTATACAACACCTCCGAGGAATTCGGGTAGGCTGCTGTCCTCTCCGCTGACTTGAGCCAGTCCTCAAAACGGGAGTAATCATCTAGAAATTTCTGCCACAGGCGCCATGTCTCCTCAATTCTGACAGGAGGTAAGCATCTCAATATAAGCCATCCATTTCAACTGTGAGCTTTCCTCTTTTTTCCCTCTCTTGACTGGTCTCACTCCCAACAACCCTTGCACTGGCACTGTTTGCTGGGGGTGGGGTGGGGGGGAGGGCCCTGATACCCTTCCTTCTATGAAATAACCAGAATATCCCCTTCTTGATCAGAATACCTTCCTCCTGAAACTGTCCCTCAAAGTTCCTGCTTCATATGGGTTAACTGGTAGGAGACAGGGCTTTCCTCTACTGCTTTGTGACTAGGGACACAGAAGCACAGTGGCTGGCCATGGTTATACCTCAAGACACAGAACTGCTAGGGATAGCTGTTACCCCAATTATATTTTTCTTGAATAATTCATTTCATGAGCATGGTCACACCTACTGAGGCTTCTCTGCCCATAGCCTTAAGTGAAGTGAATAGAGCACACAGTTCCTGGTACAGAGATGTGGCTGACCGTGTGTACAACATCTAGGGGCCACTCAATTCTTACTTCATTCGTCGTTCCATTGACATGGCACAGATATTCCTCCAGCGTCGGTCCAAGCTTCTGGTGGTCTGCTGAATGGAGTCACATTCAGTCTCATTGGCACAGGCATCGGAGTCATGCAGGAGGACATCACAGATGTTAAACACAGACTCTACTCCCGCACTGTGTTGTTCGATGTCTCGCTGCAGGTCCTACAGTTGTAATAGAGTAAGGAGCACTTTGAGGTAGAGGTGGTGGTGGTGGTGATGGTAGTGGTGGTGGTGATGTGTGTGGGGGGGAATGACTGGCACCGGAGGATCTATCTCCATGCCCACCTTTCTTGTGGTCCAGGGGCATATCCACCTCAGGATCAGCAACAATGACTGTGTCTCTCTCACCTCTGTGCAACCTTGTGCTGTAGCACCTGACACAAAACCTAAACACTGGCAACAACTGGGACTTGTTTGTTGAACTGCCTAGAAGGGGTGGGAAGGCAGGAGCATCCTCTCCTGAGAGCCCACTCCCCATACTCTGGGGAGGTGTGGGACCCACTCCATACCAACTGAATGCAAGGGTCTCCCATTCAGACATGGCTTCTGGGAGGTCTTCCTTGAGAGTCTCTTCAGCAGGACCTAAAACTTCAGGAAAGAAATGAGCTCTGTGGGAGCCTGGGTGGCTCAGTCAGTTGAATGTCTGCCTTCAGCTCAGGGCATGATCCTGGAGTTCTGGGATCAAGTCTTGCTTTGGGCTCCCTGCTCAGCCAGAGTCTGCTTCTCCCTCTGCCCTCACCCCACTCATGTTCTCTCTCTCACACTCTCTCTGTGTCTCTCAAATAAATAAATAAAATATATTTTTAAAATGAGCTCTATGATAATTTATGAAAAACCATCAACATTTTGGTTTAAAAAAAATTAAAAATTTTCAAAATTTCCAAAACAAACTTTAAAAGTACTGCAGAATGACCTACTGATTTTGAAGTATGCATTGGTTACTTTGCAAAATATAAAGTAGTGAACACATTTAAAAATGCAAACCAAAAAACAAAAAACAAAAATAAAAATAAAAATGCAAACCATTTAAGTGCTAAATGAGTGACATTTTATGAACTGAAACCATCTCACCCCTAGTTCTCATTGAGGCAGGAACACACACAATAATTAGATTTCAAGAACTGTTCAAGTGCAATTTGAAGAATGGGACTTAATAAACAACATAAAACAATGTAAAAGACTTTTACCAATAGTTCTGGAAATGCGCTCCCGTTTGTTTTGTGTTTCTGTTCCTGAGCAGGTGACAAAGAGCTCTGAAGTTGGGAAAGAACTGTGTTGGGGTGTGAGGTGGGGGGAATGATGATGAGAAGGATCTACAATGGGAGAAGCTGGGGAGAACTCACCCAGGAAAGAGGAGAATACAAAAGGAAGCAGAAAAATAAGATAAAGGGAGAAAAGAAGAAAGCTAGGTTGAGGCGGGAGGGGGGGGGCGGAAATTACATGGGGTGGGCCCAGGGTGGGGAGGGGCAGAAGGTGGCTCCAGATCGGCTCTTCGGGAGGGGCTTGGGCTGACCAGCCAGTGGAGCAGAGTGGTCTTGGTTTATGGAGACTGGCATGAAGCTGAGCTGACCTGCTGGGAAGGGGGTTATTGGTAATTACAGGATGAGGGTAACTAAGAGCACTCTTGCCCCACATCACCATATGGCATCCACACAAAGATTGAATGCAAGTGGTTCATGGTTTAAAAGTGTTAAAAGGCTGTTACCATTTCCTTTGCATTTTGAAGATGATATATGCCACAAAAATAACAATATAACCCTTACTACATAAGGAGTTCTACATAAGAGAAACAAAAAGGACTCTGATAAGGTTTGAGTTCTTCTCTCAGGGGCTCCCAGGAACATAATGAGGATCTGGGAAGCATGGTTCCTATCACTTTTGGGGACTGGGGGCTTTTGCAGAAGGCACTACTAGATGATCCTAGGCTTTTAGGCCTTATTTCTGTAAACAATCATGTAACTTATCATATTTAACTAGTGATAGAAACACAAGTAAGTTGGTTTTGTTTTGTTTTGTTTTTTAAATGGCCCATACATATTTCTTTTGTGTGACACATTTGTTTTTTGTGGTTTTGATGGAGCGTTTAAGGTCTGGTCCTGGTATAAAAAAAAAAACATTAATACAAAAATACTGAAAGTTTCCTCAGCACATCCATGGTAGGCAGAATATTGGCCACCCAAAGATGTCCATGTCCTTGGCCCCAGAACCTGTGAATACTATGGGGTACATCCCAACAGAGAATTAAAGTTGCCAATCAGCTGATGATCTTAACATCTTGGATTATCGTGGTGGGCCCAGTGTGATCCCAGGGGTCCTTAAAAGTGGTGGGGAGGCACCTGGGTGGCTCAGTCGGTTAAGTGTCTGACTCTTGGTTTTGGCTCAGGTGATGGTCTTGGGGTCCTAGGATTAAGCCCTGAGTTGGGCTCTGCTGAGTCTGCTTGAGATTTCTCTTCCCCTCTTCCTTTGCCCCTTGTTCTGCTTGCACTCTCTTTCTCTAAAATAAAGTAAAATCTTGGGATGCCTGGGTGGCTCAGCAGTTGAGCACCTGCCTTCGGCCCATGGCGTGATCCTGGAGTGCCAGCAGATCGAGTCCCACGTCGGGCTCCCTGCAGGGAGCCTGCTTCTCCCTTTGCCTGTTTCTCTGCCTCTCTCTCCCTCTCTCTCTCTGTGTCTCTCATGAATAAATAAAATCTTTAAAAAAATAAAAAAGTAAAAAAAACCAATAAAGACTTTTACTTTATTTAAAAAAAATTTAAGATTTTTTTAAATCTTAAAAAAAAAAAAAGTGGCAGAGGGGCATAGATGAGTCAAAGGGAGAAGGGACCATGAAAGAAAAGCACAGACAGATGCAATGTTGCTGGCTCTGCACATGGAGGAAATGGCCATGAGCCAAGCAATATGGGCAGCCTCCTGGCCAAATTTCTGACCTCCAGAACTCCAGTGAGATAATAAATTTGAGTTACATTGCTAAATTTGCAGTAATTTATTAAAGCAATCATAGAAAACTCATAGAACATCTAACTTCTTTACAGTAATGATATTCCTGAATGCCAACTCCTTAATTTGCTTTGGATTATGACAAGATAAGAATTCCATGACAGTGATTCTGAGTACTATGAAGAGGGAAGCTTCAAATCAACCTGAGCAAAATTATGGGCCACTTCAATACAGGACCAAAACAAGGCCAAGAGGATGGCAGCTACTCCAAACTGTACCCTTTGGGGAATACACATTCTGCAATTTAATGATGTTTTGGCACACCTCAGTTTTATAAAATGTTAACACACATTATTGGCCTCTACCAAATTTAGGCTAAGTGCCCAAGCCAGTATTTTTACTTCATAGCATCGCTAAATCATATTAAGTTGAAAGTCAGAGAATAGGCATCCTTTACAAACTATAATAGTAATAGATTGAATAAAGATCAAAGTCAAGAGGAGTATCAAATACTTGGCCTTATTTTATGGTAGCATGAGATATTACTTATTACCATTAAAAGCATTAACTTGAACTCAGGGGAATTTGTCATTAATTTATCATTACCTCTTGCCCTTGAATCTGTGAGAAAGTTCCAGCACCCAATTCTTTTTCTACAAGCAGCTGTTACATGTGGGTGAATCTTCTTGGTGTGCTGACAGACAGCAAACACCAAGGGTTTGGAAGTAACGTGAAAACAGAAACAAGTCTGAGAACCTGATGACAACAATACTGCTTATATGGTCAAAAGAGAATCTGCTCAAAGGTCTAAGAAAAAACCCATGAAGGTGAACAAAAGCTACAGAAAGCCTACTATAAACTTAATTTTAAAAATAAAGACAAGTTTCAGGCACCATATAGGAGAATGAACATGTGAATATAAGCTGATGGGAGGGCAGGAAAGTAGATTTAATTAGTTGGTGACATGAATGAGCACCCACCAGATTAATGTGATAATGACACTGGCAGGACTCAGTGGTTTCACACTGTATAGTTTCCAGGGTCAGCTCAGAGGGTGCCTAAACTGATGAGAGAAATGCACAGAATACTGCAAGAGGGGCTTCCTAAGCCACTGGCCTAAGCATCTTCCTTATTATATCTTGTTTTTTTTTTTTTTTTTGGGGGGGGGAGCTCTATCAGATGATCTGTTGTCCAATGAAAACTTTCCTTGGTTAGAAAATTTACTTTTCTTTCAATTCATTGCCTTCTAAAACCATATTAACAAAACGAAACAAAGATCCAAGTTAAAAAAAAAATAACTAAGCAAAACACCTTATTTACCACTAAGACTAAGAGCTATCTCTCAAACATTATTCAAAGTATTTCACAAAGAGGTGTGTGAATGTGGTGGAAGATGGGCAAACAAGAGATGGAGTCTCACACATACAAGAACACAGACAGGTGGTCAGTTTTCTCTGGGAAAAAAAATATAGTGAAATGTGATTATGCTAAAAGACAGAGCCAATGCGGGGAAGGTTTGAGTTCGAAGAGATCATAGACACCTATAGTCTTATAAAAGCTTCTTTCCTCACCTGCTGCTCAGCAAGCCTCTTCTGGATCTCTTGATCGTCACAGACGTCATAGACGACGGGCTTAGAAAGCTCTGACTCGATTCGAGCCAACCAGGTACGAAGGTTGCTCATGTTTTTGTCTAACTGCTGAATAAAAGCAAAGGTCTCCTTCAGCTTCTTCACCCTAAACATATTTGCAGGAGAAAAAGAGGTAAAAAAAAAAAAAAAAAGCCCAACGTTTAGTGGTGACAAGAAATGTGCTAACAAAGGTGTCATAAAGGTAAAAAGCAACTTTCGTTTGTTAATGATTTTATAGCAGGAACAGCTCTCACATCACAGATAGGGAGTTTTCACAGAATACGTGACACTTTACAAAATTGCTGGTCTGGTTGATTTTCAAATGGACTAAGAGTTAATCCACTCATGCAAATATGAAGTCCTATCCTTCCCAGAGTGGGATCCCCTCAGACCCAGTATATCTTTCTAAGGCTCCAGAGGAAAGAGATGCTATCTCATTCTCTCTAGGTTAAAATAAGCACCCTTGGGACACCTGGGTAGCTCAGTCAGTTAAGTGTCTGACTCTTGATTTTTGGCTCAGGTCATGATCTCAGGGTTGTGGAGCTCAGGGTTGGTCCCGAGCTCCATATTGGGATCTGAGCTGAGTGTGGAACCCGCTTAAGATTTTCTCCCTCTCCCACTTCTTCACCCTCTTGCACCTACACTTCCCTCTAAAAATAATATTAAGGGTGTCTGGGTGGCTCAGTTGATTGAGGGTCCAACTTTTGGTTTTGTCTGAGGTCTTGATCCTGGTTGTGGGACTGAACCTTCTGTCAGGCTCTGCCTTCACTGTGGAGTCTGCTTGAGATTCTCTGCCTCTGCTCCTCCCCCCCGGCTTGTGTGCACACTGTCTAAAATAAATAAAATCTTTAATAAATATAAGGGGCGCCTGGGTGGCTCACTTGGTTAAGCATCTGCCTTTGGCTCAGGTCATGGTCCCAGGGTCCTGGGATTGAGCTCTGCATTGGGCTCCCTGCTCATGCTTCTCTCTCTCACTTTCTTTCAAGTAAATAAATCAAATCTTTAAAAAAAAACAAAAAACAAAAAACATAACCACACTTATTTAATAAACCAACTGGATTTCTGTCCAGTTTCTTTCTTGGCTATACTCGAGATTGCAGCAGCCAGGGATTTTCCCTGATGGTTTAAAGATGTTAACATGCCTGGCTCATTTGGTGTTATCTGGCTTATGCTGCTTCTCATGGGACCTTCCTCTTGAGCAAGCACAAAACATGAGCTAAAGCCCACCATGGCCAGTCTAAGGGGTTGAAGGAACCTTACACATACACTCAGCCCATTATAGGGCTGCTGTATCAGCCAAAAGGGGAGCAGGGAGTGTGATGAGAAATAGGGCAAATATAACCTACAAACATAGTCCTAAATCATCTGCCTCCTACTCAGTATGGGGCAGACTTGAATGAACATACACTGCATCAGTATATTTGGTGAGCTCACCGGTGTATCAACATACTGTCAAGGGGAAATGACACAGCTGCTGGGAAAATAATTTTTACGTAGATCCTGAAAAAAAGATCCTTCTATAAACTGCTTTCATGGAAGTCTTAAAGTGAGTGAGGGCTTGTTCTGGTAATCTGTGTGTGTGTGTGTGTTTTTTAAAGATTTATTTATTTATTTTAGAGAGAGGGAGTGTGAGAAAATGAGAGAGCATGTGAGTGGGGGGAGGGGCAGAGGGAAAGAATCTTCAAGCAGACTCCCTGCTGAGCATGGAGCTCAACACAGGGCTCTATCTCACGACTCATGAGATCATGACCTGAGCTGAAACCAAGGGTTGGATGCTTAACTGACAGCCACCCAGGAGCACTTATCTGTGGGAATCTTTGTGAATCCCAGAGACTTGAATAGCTACAATGCAAAGTTCCCACCTATGGATACTCATGTTACAAGGTGCTGTCAGAACTCCATCCTGCAGCACTAGAAAGAGAAGGTGAGGCACTGGCTCCAACTTGCCAGAAACACGCTACATTCCCTGCTACCGTCATCTCTTCCTGGACTGCCTGTGAACAGCTCCCTAACACCCTCCTTGCCAACCCCCTACCCAGCCAGCTGTGGTTCTGTGGCCAACATGCATATTCTAGATGTTAAGTCTGATACATTTATGCTCAAATGCTATCATGATTGTCATCCTACCCCAACATACCAGTTAAGCACCTTGACCTTTTCAGGTCATCAATGTTCAGTGGCCTCTCTGCCTCCATCCCGGCACTCTGCAAAGTGGCTCCCCTTCCCGTCTCTTGGAGCTTCTACCACTGCTCACCAAAGACACTGGGGGGCCCCTTGCCCACATGCTTCCGCAGAACCTGGGGCCTCCTGCCCTGTGTTGTATCTCATTGCTCATTTACCGTGCACCCATCATGACCATGTCTGCACTAGTCAGGGTGCACAGGGCTTGCTACCTCTGCGTGCACAGCACCTCCCACTCTGCCTGGTGGGCAGAGGTATTGACAAACATTTTTTGTATGAATAAATGTGTACAAGCACTTCCACTACATGCTATTATTTAAGTAGACCACAGAATTGTGTGTGTTTTAGTTTTTAATCTTTACTTCTTTTTTATTTTTTCCATCCTACCATCAACCAAGTCAACCCCGGAGACTGACTTTTAACTGCAGCTCTATCAGCAGCTAGTTTTATGATTTAGGGAAAAATCCTTTTACTTCAGCTGTTACTTCCTTTTACTTTACTTTATCCTCAGCTTTAGTTAGGCTTCTGAGATCCCTCAAGCTTCAGGGAGATGGTAATACCTGGGTGAAAATAAGGCCAGAGTTCTGGAGTGAACAGACCTGGCTCTAAGTTCCATTGCACCACTGATGAGCTCTGTATCCCTGCAAGGAGCCTAACTTTCCTGATTTCCAGTTTCCTTGTTACCTGCAAAATTGTCCATCTTACAGGTACTTTTGAGATGGAAACAAAAGGATGTATGTGAAGTCTTTGGTGTCGAGTAAGTACTCAGTATAATACTAGCTCTTATTACTGCCAACTGGAATTCTATGATGCTACAATAACACCTCATTCATAAGGCACTGAACCTTACCAAAGTCTTTTCATAAATATTTATTCTCAGCTCTGCCATGAGGTGGGCAGGCTGAGGAGGAGGCCATGGAGTCTGATAGTAAAGAGCACAGTCTTTGCAGTCAGGGCCTAGGTTTGAATTCTGACTCTATTTAAGCTCATTGGAAAAACAGTAGTTATCCCTTCCTTCCTTGGGTGGCTGAGAGGGTTGAATGAGATATAAACACATGAAATGTATTTGGCATAATGCCTAACAGAGATAAATGTCCAGAAACCATGATCGAGATGATTTTCACGGTGGTAAGTTTTTCCACATTACAATCTTACTGCAAATACCACAAGGAGTTCCCTTCAAAGCCACAAGATGATTTATCAAAAAGGAAGTAACAGAATCTGGAGCCAGGCCTAGAAACCTACATCCTGCCTTTGTTCCTGTGGTTTTACAGGTACACCTTCCTCACCCCAATATCTTGTCACCCTGACTGCCTAGGGACCAGAAAGAACACACTAGACAATGCCACAGGAGCCGGGAACCCCAGGCCCTATGGGACAAGGCATCTTCCATGGAGTTAGCAAGAGGTTGCCCTTCTGGAAGGCTCTGACAGGAGAAGTAGCCCAGCCCTGAGAGCTTCCTAGAAATGGGGAGAGGGGCTCAAGTTCAGTGGCCCCTACATAGCTCTCCACTTCCCCCTCTATCAGGTACCTGACCCTACTCCAACCTAAGAATCCCAGTCTATTTTAAAAAGAAAGGGCCAAAATGCCCCTTAAATTGTTTTAAATGACAGAAGCTAACAAGAGACAACAGAACCTGGGTGCAAACACAGAGATGTAGTGATCATGAATCCTGTTAATCCCAGGGTGTAGTGTACAATAAGCTGAGGGAGGGAGTATGGAGCAGGTGGAGGAATAATTTACTTGGCTTCCCCAGGACTATGCTATTCCAGGCCAGTGGTGTCCAAAATGGAGGTTTACGACAATCCAGTGGAGTATGGGAATAAAATGTTAGACTTTCTACTGTTATGCCTTTCTTTTTAAATGTCCACATTGGGTATGCTTTCTAATTCACAAACTTTATTACTATATGAAACACCTATAGAACATGTTGAAATTTACCTGTGCCAGGCCCATGGTGCTTTATATGTTAGCCACTCATTTAATCCTCCCAGCAATGCTATGAGATCAGTACTATTAGCATCTCCACTTGAGAGATGAGGTTAACTGTAGCACAGGGATTAAATGCCCCAGTCACATGATCATTAAATGGCAGAGGCAGGATTCCAACCTGGACACTCTGGTTCGGAGCTGCTGTTCTTAAGCCCTTTCTTCATGGCAACTCATCTAAACCTGTACACGCAAATGTGCACACATTAGCACGTTAGCTAATATCAGGAATATCAGGCACAGGACAGTTTTTGTTGCTGTTAGGGAACATGATCAGAAGTCTAGACTTGTGGCTCCAGGATACACTTGGAGGTAGAAGCCCATCCACCAAGTGCTATACTTTGGGGACCCACATTTGCCCCTCCATAATTTCTTTCAATATGCATTTAACATGTGCTTGGTCTTGGATCCTCTACAGATTCCCAAGATTCAAGAGATAACTAAAAAATAGGTCTTATTCCCACAGAGCTCATGATCTAATTTAGATCAAATTTTGACATTATAACACAATTTAGAGGTGCTCAATAAGCATCTTTTGAATGAGTAAATGATGTTCACTTATATCTTCAAACTTGTCTTTTTTATAAAAGACATGGCTATGTTATATATTAGAGGAAAGAGGTAAAGCCAGAGCCATTTTGTCACAAAACAATCTGCTGCCACATTACAAGCCATATATGCTCCTATATACCTTGGGGTTCCATATAGAGCAAGTGAAATACTGACAAACAAGCAAACAAATTACACATACACTTAGGGCAAATTAAAGAGGAAGGGAAGGTAGGAGGAAAAGAAAAGAAAAGGTTGCCAGAAGAAGCTACAAAAGATTCATCTAATCAGGATTTAACTAACCTCTAGGTCCCAAACTCTGACAGAAGGCGTAATATCCAAAACTGCATGGTGATTTAAAAATTTTTTTTCAGACAATCACAACTT